CTTAAAGTGTGTTGAAGTGTGTTTAACGTTTTTCATTGTACATAAAATACACTATCGTTCAACAGTTCTTTGACACATAAAACAGTGATAATGAACTGTTCGAAACAGTCTTTATAATCATGAATTTTAATACAATATTTTGTATTATTTGCATACCTACTATAATTTCATTGATCAGGGACTACCTATATTATTATTAATATCACCAGTCTCAATATTTGTCAATCTTTGTACAATTTATTATCATTAATCGTTTCTACAGGTGCGGATTGATATAGATCCAGACACAAGATTGTGTCTGTTTACAGCACAGCAACTAGATAATCAAATCAAATCGTTTGTCACGGGAAGTGTATTTATATTTGATGAACATCGATAAAGTTTTAATTAATCTTATGTTGGGTACCTATTTAGTTAAAAGTAATGGGAATTTTAGCTGTAGCTGTTAAAGATACCTATTCTAAGTTGGTTGTCAAATAGGTAGGTACTAATATTTGTAAGTATTTGTGGTCTCATAGTTACGATACCCTAAAAAGAAAATAAAAGACCTGAGTTTTTGAATTAGCTGTGTATAATTGTAAAGAATAATGCAATGGCTACTGAGACATAGCTTAATCTTTTAGTGAATGCTCGATTTCCTTGGTCTTGGTCTTTATCTTCTTCAACTTCCGTTCCATTGCTGGTCAAATCTTTAACCTGAAAAAAAGCACAACTTAAGTAAAAGAAAAATCTGAATAAATATGCTATGGATCATCAACTCAAACTTTTATTCCTACAGTCTGGAAGTGTGGCAAGCTGAAGTGGCATTAGGCATAGTGTTAAGTGTTAAGATGCCAGATGAACCGATGACTTAAAGAGATCGGCAGGAACCGACCGGATGGAAAAAAATGGGATCATGATCATGGATCGTGCCTTGTGGCATACCTTGGTGGAGGTCATACGTCCAGCAGTGAACCGCTATAGGCTGATGTGATGTGATGTGATAAAACTTACAGCCTCATCAATCCAAATGTTGAAGTTAGCGACTCTGGCACTGACGCCCATGGCCTTTGGGTTGGCGCAGCCGTAGCCCCACGAGATGACGCCAACCAACGTCCCATTGTACATCAAGGGACCTCCACTGTCTGCTGAACAAGCATCCCTTCCTGGAATATTAACATGCAAAAGTTTACAACTATTTTGGATCGGAGAAAGACACAGGATGACGTGTTTGAATGACCCTGCAGAGAAAAAGAGGAGGCTTTTAGCACAACAGTGGAACTGTGTCACAAGACTAGGTTTTTGATGTCAAAGTACTCGTATGAGTTAGGTCCTCTACGATAATCCACTGTTATCTTGAACATTTTGAATGGAACATGTCGTTAATTTTGTCCATGTTTGTCTAGTTGGCTCGATATAGGTAATGGTACTTTTAGTAGGTCACTCACCACCAACACCAAAGACTCCAGCACATATCATGTTTTCAGTGACCGTGTACTCAACCTCTATGCCAGTTTCATTAAACACCTGCTGTTCTGTCTCGCGATACCCTGCCTGGCAAACTTCCAGGCTCACTTTGTAGACGTCTACTTCTTGCAGTATCGTTGCTTGCTCTGCATCCTGAAATGATATTCCAATCTTCATTTCTTGGATTTCTTGGATTCAAGCTTTTCTCAGATTCAAATCTAACAACAATTTTTCCCAGTGTCTAAAGACACCTGCCAAAGCTCAGTTTAGAATTTCAGATTATTTGAGTCTTCTAGGAAATTGTAACCACTACAATACTTGTTAAAAAAAAGCTGCGTTGTCTTGTCAATACTATTATTTCTTACCAATAAACTTACAATATCAGTACCGGTGAGACCCCATCCGGCATACGTGACAACAGCGCCATCTGGCACCCCGCTGCCGAAAGCTGGTAACTTCACCACGTTGATGGTATCACCAAAAGGCAGAGCATCTTTCAGTAGAAACACACCGATGTCGTAATCCGCGAATACGATCTTGTTGTAGTCTTCATGAAATTTTACTTGAATAATTTGAGTCACAATTCCACCTGGAAATATTTTGTTTATTAATTTTTCCACAGCATTTATTAAGTGGTTTCACCGGTCTCCATGATGACAGGGAGACAAAGATAATGCAAAAATTTTGCCATCATCCCAAACAAATTATGGAATTTGACCAAATTCCTGGGAATTCGACCGAATTACCGATTAGGTACAATACTCCTACCTTCGTTAACAGTAGTAGAACCAGCTCTCACATGAAAGGGTAGGTCCAAATCCACAAACTCTTCAAATCCACTAAAAGTTTAACAGTTAACGTTAATAAATATTTATCAATTGAATGATTACCGGGTTAATACAAAAAGAAGACTAAACTTTCAAAAACACGTTAATTGGGAAACAAAAATCATTGATTGTGATGAAAACCCCCCATCCAGAATAAAAAAATCATGAAATAATATCACTTCCTTATTATTTACTTGTTACTAGCACAATAAAAAAGGTAGGCAAATAGGTAAAGTTCAGCACGAAAAATTCAATTTATTGGATTTTTTGATGTACTCTCTGTCACAGTACCTACTATAAATTATTACGAAATTATACGAAATTGAAGAAATTGCAAGATTAACGCTTTGAAACCAGCATAAGTAATTTAAAAATTTGCAAGGATTAACCGGTGTGTCGATAGCTCAGTGGCATAGCACTGGGATGGGGCGGTACCCCACCATTCCCTGGTTCATTTCCCGGTCGTTGTTTTTTTTTTCTTATTTTATATCATACGAAGAGCTTACTCCAAGCAATGCGCGGCGGATAATCCGACTCTTGCTGTCAAAAGACTTCCTGCGCAAAATTGCAATGTTTGCACATCTTCTTCCATAAAGATAATCTGAAAAATTAAGTAAATGAAATAGCTTATTTTCATTACCTACATATTTTATAAATTGTATGGAGCATCATAGTTATTTTGATTTGTTTATGGTACAACATATTTATTTATTAGTGTCGTAGTTTATAATGGTACGAATACTTGCTCATCTTTACACATGAAGTTCTAAATCTCTCTCTCTTCGTGTGGGACACCGAGTCGTTCAACGACACGATGAACCCTGGTGCCAGAGTTTTTCAACCGCCTACTACAAGTAGCAGGCCTCTGACATGGTTGTGTAACGACCGCCATCATAGACAGCAACCGGGACCGACGGCTTAACGTGCCCATCCGAAGCACGGAACCATCTTACTTTTCTGACAATCAGGTAGTTCTAAATAAATTAAGTCAAAAGCTGAGAAGCATTAACATTATTATGAAACTTCTCAGGCGAATCCTACACCTTACATCCGCTGGTGCAAAAGAGATAAATATATTGCATCTTCCATAAGTGTAAAAGAGATGAATGCATCGGTCAAACAACGCAAGCTTATGCGTCAGAGTACGGGGAATTCAAAATTTATTTGTACCTGGCATGCGTTATGGATGTGTTAAAATACGCAGCAACGGACGTCAAGTATGGGAAACTCTGTACTCTTATTACCTGCACGAGAAAAGGCCATTTCTCAATGGTAGTGTCATTTCCTCCTATGATTCTATTTACATTTCGCTGATTGACAAAGGCTCCTGATTGTCTGGATACCAAAGCACCATCTACGCAAGTATAAAAACTTGTTTATGAAAAAATATTTCCTTAAGTCCATTCGCTATCATAGGCGCTTTAAGGTGTCCTGAAATAATGAGCTTGATGCGACGTTTTACGCCGTTAAAATGACTGGTATGTGTGTGGATGACTTCATAATATGAACGACGCTGCCACGTTGACTATAAGGTTGGTCGTGACACTATGCTATCGAATCGAATCGACTGTTAATAATAATGTAAATTAAACTACTATTATTCTTTTTTTGGTGATCAAACCTTGATTTCAAAATATTTATCAATGGAACAAATTGTAGTTGAAACGGACTATTTTTATACTAACGTACCTGTAAAACACGATATTAATCCCAAAACTAAAAACGCACATAACTTGAACATTTTGTTACACATTTTCGATAAAAAGCCTACTATGCTATGCTACTGAAAGCACCTACTGATATATACATGTACGGTACGGTATACATAATATGTTTTTGTTTATCAAATAGATAACATTAGCTGATTTCTCGTAGTTTAATCTGAAAATAATTGAAAAATTATCAGTTAGTCTACGATTTATGCGGAAATAGATGGATCTTCAGGATAACCAGTTCCTAAAATTGGATGACACGTGCGCGCAAAAACTATTTTTTCTTTCATTTACAAACTTGAAAAACTTTTGCTCTTTTAATTACAAAGTTGTGAGACTGACTCTATAGTTCATGAAGTCGTTGAACAACTCGATGTCCCATACGAAAAGAAAACGAATTAGATAAGTACTATCGCTAGCGAATCCACCTTTCAATTTAAGGGACCAACTCATACAAATACTAAAAAAATAAATAAGTTGATCCCTTAAATTGGGTGGTGGATTTGCTGGTGATAGTGCAAAGTTCATTCAACAACAAAATGTCTAGATTTTCTTTTTCTGAAAGTAAAAGCATTCAGGTAAAAGAGGCTATCCTAGCCCCAATCCATTAGCGGGTAGACGCGCTTACCTCGCACTCACCTAGATCAAAGTTAATCAGAGGAGCCGACACAAAGCGACGGAAAAGATACCCCATTGTGGCAAATAGTAGTCTTGTGTGGCGGAGCGCAGGGTAAGATGCTCTACTTGAAAAGTTAGTTTTCACATTTGGCATCAGCCTAAACTTAAGTCTCCCCTCAAGTGCGCCATGAGATACAACCCCCCTTTTCGCCATCCCGTCGTTACCAGTCGCTACAATCTGGCTAGAAGAAGTCACGCTACGTTTGCCGAGGCGTACCCTCTACTCTAGAACTAGCTAACGTTTGAATGTTTACTATTTTGTAGATATTTTAGCACAAAATAGTAATTTCGAATACTTGGCAAGCAAGTGGTTCACAGATTCGCCGCCTGGATTAGTGCAACTGTGGTTAACGGTAACACGTCTGACCCGGCTTGTCAGAAGACGTGGGTTCAAATCCCACCAGTGGCGTGAATTTTTTCAGTCAGTATTATTAACTTTGTAACCAAAAAAGTTAAAACCAATCAAGTATTCGAAATTACTATCTTGTGGAAAAATTTCTAAAAAATAGTTAACATTCACAAATCGGAAAAAGCTCCATCTCTCGTCAACTTGTACATACTTATTGTTGTCAGATGAGACTGTATAGTTCTGATTAAAAGTCATAGATGGCGCTAAAGCTTATCGTAAGTAGTCAAGTAACAAATATACATATTTGTAAGTAGATATTTTGTTGGCATGAGGTCCCATTTGACCATTTGTTACGTTACGATACCCTAAAAAGAAAATAAAAGACAAGCATTTTATAATTAGCCGTATATTATTGTAAAGAATAATGCAATGGCTACTGAGACATAGCTTAACTTTTTAGTGAATGCTCGATTTCCTTGGCCTTGGTCTTTGTCTTCTTCAACTTCCGTTCCATTACTGGTCAATTCTTTAACATGAAAAAAAGAAATCTATTACAACTGAAGTAAAAAGAAAAATCTGAGTAAATATAAGATCATCAATTCAAAACTTTCATTCCTATAGTCTGGAAGTGTAGTAAGCTGAAGTTGCATTAGGGAAAGTGTTGTGTGTTGAGACGCCGCTAGATGGACCGATCGGCTGGAACCGACCGGATGACAAAAACGGGAGATCGTTCCTTGTAGCGTACTTTTGGGGGAGATCTACGTCCAGCAGTGAACTGCTAATAGGTGATCTGATAAATCGTATATCAATCGTCAACTCAGGACAATTTATATGAGCAATTTCAATGCAATTTAAATGAAGAATCAGACATACAGCCTCATCAATCCAAATGTTGAAGTTAGCTACCCTGTCACTGACCCCGATGGCGAGAGGGTTAGCGCAGCCGTAGCCCCACGAGATGACGTCGGCCAACGTCCCGTTGTACATCAAGGGAAGCAGTTTGAATAAGGAATGTAACTTACGGCCTCATCAATCCAAATGTTGAAGTTAGCGACCCTGGCGTTGACTCCCATGGCCTTTGGGTTGGCGCAGCCGTAGCCCCACGAGATGACGCCGACCAACGTCCCGTTGTACATCAAGGGACCTCCGCTGTCTGCTGAACAAGCATCCCTTCCTGGAATAACAAAACTCAATTTTACAAGTCTGCAACAATTTTGATGGAGATCGGAGAAAAGAATGACCTGTTTGAATGAGATGCAGAGAGACAGAGGGGCCTTTTTGCCCAGCAATGGAACTGTTTCACTATATTACTTGGTGTTTGATTCCGAAGCTGATCTTAGCGCAGTGGAAGCAAGTTAAAGTTATCTTAAAATCTAAAACTAAATGGTCGATCAGCCTCGGAACAACATTTGACTACGATTCGTAGTGCTCTTTACTATAGCTAAATAAAATAAATTTAATGAGAAAATTTTTGTTCCGGAAAGTTTCCGGCCGAGAAATTTTTGTTTCCAAAGTCTGCGACGGCTCTCTCACAATCTCCTACTAATATTTAACTGCACCACCACAGCTCATATCTAAAATAAATATACCAAGTTCCGGTTGTACTAAAGGTCATCAGGGTGGTGACCTCCACGTAATGTTGCTAAATCACTGCAATGAACGTACTTATACAGGACCTAGCAGCAAATTGCTTACAGTGCGAATTATGACGCCGCCGTTCCCTTGTAAGTCTAGTTTTTGACAGGAAAAAAGGTATCAGGGTTTGAGGAAGACACTTGGATAGGGATTTAGATACTAGACTTACGGCACCCGGGCACCAGCTCGTGTGGCACTCCGTCCCTCCGACAATTTTGGTTTCACCTTAGTTTATCACTCTATTATTCACTAGTTCACAGTTGTTCATAGTTCGGCCACGTTGGCCCTCAATCAAGAAACCTGCCCAGTTCGCATTCAAAGCGCACTACCAAACCACTATTCACTTGGTTTTACTACCGCACAAGAACAGGGAACTCTTCCCTGGCAGCAATTGCGCATGCGAAAAAATAAAACCCAGACTACTTAAAATATGTGCCTAACACCGGTCGCGCGAGTGACTAAAAGTAAGAGGTTTTATCGCCGACCGCGCGATTCGCGGGGTTCGCAAAGCGAAAGACAAGATGGCGTCGACCGAGCAGCCGGTGTCAGACGAAATGGCGCGAAACAATAAAACGCGCGTATACATGATGCGAAACTAAACATTCACCCGCCCCGGACCATCCCATCGGTCCGCTCAATGCATGGCAGGCGTGATAATGTAGCTACTGCTCGCTTAAGAACTGAATCCCCCACCTGAACTTCTGCAACTCGAGGAGTGCCATCACTACCCGGAAATAGGTTGAGAATGCGCCCCCGGCGCCAACGCAGTGGCGGTAGGTTGGCATCCTTAACCAGAACGAGATCCCCAATGCAGGGGGGTTCAGTCCTGTCCGTCCACTTAAGGCGTTGCTGCAGAATGTGCAAGTACTCAAGCGACCAACGCTTCCAAAAGTTTTGAGTCATTTGCTGCAACAACTGATAACGCGACAAACGATTGCTATTCACCTCCGTATAGGGATATTCCGGCAAAGCGTTAAGTGGGCGGCCAATTAAGAAATGCCCTGGCGTCAAGGCCTCTAAATCATTTGGGTCTGAGCTGAGCGGACACAAAGGACGCGAATTGAGTACAGCCTCAATTTAACAAAACACGGTCGCCAGCTCCTCGAAAGTCAAAATTGTTAACCCTACAACGCGCAACAAATGCGTCTTAGCGGACTTTACAACCGCTTCAAAAATACCACCCCAGTGAGGGCACGCTGGTGGATCGAACACCCAGGTAATGCCCTGACGGGAGGCCCGTGCTGATGGCTTCTTCGTTCTCCCTTAAGAACGTTACAATTTCCTTCATACACCGATCAGCACCCTTAAAGTTGGTACCACAATCCGACCTGATCAGCGCTGGTCGCCCTCGTCGCGACGTAAATCTCTCCAGCGCTGCCAAAAAGGCCTCGGTAGAAAGGTCGGCCACGAGCTCCAAGTGGACGGCCTTGGTGGCTAGGCACACGAATACGCACAAGTACGCCTTTATAGACTTTGCGTTCCGCAGGCGTGATGCCTTTACCATGAAAGGGCCTGCGAAATCCGTTCCCACACCTGCAAACGTCCAGGCCTCCGTCACCCGGTCCGGTGGAAGATCTCCCATCTGTGGCTGCATTGTGGCTGCCTTCAAGCGGTAACAAGGCAAGCACCTAAACACAACACTACGCACCGTTCGTCGTCCCGATAAGATCCAAAACTCGCGCTGTAGGATGGCCAATAGCGCATTACAGCCCGCGTGCGAGTTTTTCTCATGACGATCCCTGACTAAGAGCTCAACTAAGGGTCCCCTTTTGGAAGTAACAGTGGATGCCGAGCCGAAAAGGGCAGGCTAGCGTTCCGAAGTCTGCCTCCAACCCTGAGCATACCTTGCTCATCCAGGAATGGGTTGAGGCGCACAATTCCTCCCTTCAGCTTTCCACGTCCATCCCTGAGCAGCCTGACCTCCTCTTCGAAATGTTCCGCCTGGACGACTCTAACTAATGAGCATAGAGCCGCATTCCGTTCCGCAGGCGAGAGGACTGGTGCAAAGTTCCGTTCTGCTTGAGGCTTCCTGCAGTTGTTCACGAACCGTTTGATCCAACCTGTCACCCCAAGAAGTTTGTCGAGGGAGCTATACCGTTCCAGCAAGAAAGCTGGGTTAGGCTTCGGTACGAGTTGCCCCACGTTCACTCGCAAACCTCGATCAGGTGGCCCAAGCGGCGCCCTGCACTCGTTGAATGGCCATTCCTGCGGCGACTCAGTCAGCCATTGAGGTCCCCACCACAGTGGGTGACTCACCAAATCAGGTGCCCTGCACCCGCGCGAAGCGCAGTCCGCTGGGTTCCATTCTCCCGGTACGTGCCTCCACACTAACGGAGTTTCCGACCCCGTAATCTGTGACACCCGATTTGCCACGAAAACCTCAAGTGTATGTACCGACGTCTGCAACCAGCACAGAACTATCCGACTGTCAGTCCACGCGTACACCGTTTCATCCAAGTTGATGGTACCACGCAGATTGCAGGTTACATGATTTAGCAAGCGCGCTAGAAGAGCTGCCCCTGCCAATTCCAATTTGGGGATGGTCCATCTAGTTCTGACTGGTGCCACCTTACTTTTGGCCATAACCAGACGCACGTGCACAGTTCCCGTTGAACTTGCTGTCCGAAGGTATACAGCTGCCGCGTACCCTCGCTCCGAGGCGTCACAAAACCCATGTAGGGTAGCCTTACATCCCACCGATGGGACTAACTTGCGAGGTATCGCGATGTGCACAATCCCTGGTAAGGTGGTCACAAACTTGAGCCAATCCTTCAACAACTCTCCGGAGAGTTGGTCGTCCCATCCTAAGTTGGCTAGCCACAACCTTTGTAAAAGCACTTCGCCATGAACGTAACCGGGGCGATCCATCCGTTAGGATCGAACGTTCTAGCGATTGTCGACAGTACCGACCGCTTAGTCCAAGTTTTCTCCAAAAGGTCGGGCTCAATCTTGTACGTGAATACGTCATGCGTTGGCCTATATTGCACCCCGAGGATGCCCAACGTGTTTGGATTGTCCGGGTTCTCAAAGAGGTGCGGGTCCTGATGGAACTCGCCTGGCAAACCGGCCAGGAGCTCTGGGCAACTGGACAACCATTTCCGCAACTCGTAACCTCCTGAACCCATGATCGCGATCAACTCGTCTCGTAGAATTAGCGCCTGCTCCACGCTATCAGCACCCGTGCAGATATCGTCCACGTAGACGTCGCGATCCAGTACTGCTGCGGCTCGAGGATATCTTACCCTTTCCTGTGCGGCCAACTCGCAGCGTACGTACTGCCAAATACGGACTTGGCTTAAGTCCATACGTCACCGTGTTAAGTTCGTATGTGACCATCGGCTCATCTGGGCTCTCACGCCACAAAATCAGCTGATACCGACGGTCATCCGGATGTATCATGGTTTGGCGAAACATCATTTTGACGT